GCCATATTTCAGCTTTCGAGACAAGATGCTGATTATTAGCCAGTCTTCCTTGATGTTCAGATCTTTTAGAGTGTCAGTATTTCTTCTCTTCTTTTCCCATGGTATTCTGAGAAAAGTGCTGTATTATTTCAGCTGAAAAGTCCTTAATTAATGTACCGGTAAATAATTTCATAAAACATCCAAGAATCAAATGGTTTGGTCACCTGGTTATAATGGAACAAAATCAGCCAGCAGGTAGAACGTGCTACGTAAGAACAGTAGGCTACACGTCAAAAGGCTGACAAAGAAAGAGATGGGTGGACGGAGTGAAAGAGACACGATAGAAACACGATATGACGTCATCACAAGCTACACAACTAGCAGGCGACAGGAAAGTATATCTAACTCCTCTCTGCGACGCTTTACGACATCCCCAATAAGATCATGAAGAAGAATTAATAAGATAATGAAGAAGAAGAAACAGAATTAAAAAGATAATGAAGAAGAAGAAGGAGAATTAATAAGATAATGAAGAAGAAGGATAAGAATTAATCAGAACTTCTCAATGTAAATATTAGAAGAAGATGCTTGGAGAAGCATAGACTCCGAACAGCAACAATACCGACATTCTTCAAGATCTGAATTTCGAGAGGCACTAGCTCATAAATAATATCGTTCGTTGCTCTTAAACAGATTTACTTAGGACCATATTAAACACTATAATCTATTTTCTTCGTCATGTCGCTGTTGACAAACAGGGCATTCTCCAGTGGTCCCCCATTACTGTCTGCTGCTTTTCTGCCCATTGTATTCCGTGTCATTTTACATTTCTTCATTTCCCTTTCTCCTGTCCTTCCCCAAGCTTCCTTGGGTTGTCCACTCCTGCCAGTTACATCTGCCGTCCACCGGAGAGCTATCCTTGCCAGATTGTCTTGAAACATCCCACAAGCAGATCCATGATGTACCCATGTTCTTCCTTTGATAACATTCGGTAGTGATGCACATTTTGTCTTCCTCTTCAGTTCTTTATTTGTGATCTTGTCTGGCCACAATTTCGCGCATCATGAATGCAATTCAGTCTGGCAACTTTAGTCTCTTCCATCAACGTCTTAGCTTCCCCCTGCGGGTTCTTGTTTCTTCATTTTAATTTAGCAGTTTGTTACCTGTGGGTCGCATCCCCTTTGGGGAGTCGAACGAGCCTTTCACAGGGGTCGCCTAAGACCAACGTTCAACACATATTCACTGAAGTTATGAAATAGCAACGAAATTATTTGAATGGTTGCGGGTCACCACAACATGAGGAGCTGCATTATATGGTGACGCTCTAATTGTTTCTAATTTAACTGCCTGATCGTCTGTTGATTTTCTGTCCACTTCTTCTCACGATGTGCCCAATATAGCACTATTTACATTGTCTTATAATTGTAGGTACCAGCAGAAGTCCGCGAATTTCTCTCTTTTCCTCGCCTTTGTTGAATTTTAAAATCTAATTCGTATCATTTTCACAGTCATTTGTTTTCGAATACAGTATTGCAAGGAACTGTACAAAATAACCGCTCTAAGCAATGCAACTGTTAATTTACATTGTGTGTGCTCTTGTTGGCTCTGTCGTCCCGTTTTGAGAAAAGAATAGACCCACTGCCCCTTTTCAATCATGTCGTAAAATGCGACTAATTATGAATTTGCTGAAACATGTGTTGCGCAGAAAGACGCAAATATCGCAGACTCGTTCTAAACCAATGCACAAAGAGCCAAACATCTTTATTAGAGTGTGCAAGAACAAGGAAAGGAGTCGAGGTAGTGTAGTGGCTAGACTCTCTGCAACAGTCCCGTAGATCTTGGGTTCAAATCCGCATCCAGTTGGATGTTTGTCAACAATGACCTTTGCTGCCAGGTCGCCCCAGCCTGAAATGGGTACGAAGTAATGTTCTCAGAAGTAAAGGCGACCGTAGTGATGTCACTCTTTAGTTTACTGTATAGTACCCGTTGTATTTGTTGATCATCGCCATCAGGTGTCTGATACCGTGGTGGAGCCGTACAACTGCACGCTGGCCATTCACCTACTGGTGGAGAACACGGACGAAACATACATCATCGACAACGAGGCTTTGTACGACATCTGCTTCCACACGCTCCGGCTGACAACCCCCACCAACGGCGATCTGAACCATCTAGTCTCCGCCACCATGTCCGGAATAACTACCTGCCTGAGATTCCCCGGCCAGCTCAACGCAGACCTCCGCAAACTGGCAGTCAACATGGTGCCTTTCCCCCGGCTCCACTTCTTCATGACTGGATTCGCGCCATTGACTTCCAGAGGCAGCCAGTGGTACAGGAACCTCTCGGTTCCCGAGCTCACCCAGCAGATGTTTGACGCCAAGAACATGATGGCGGCCTGCGATCCCCGACATGGCCGTTACCTCACAGCTGCCACCGTCTTCCGAGGGAAGATGTCGATGAAGGAAGTGGACGAGCAGATGCTGAACGTGCAGAATAAGAACAGCAGGTACTTCGTGGAGTGGATCCCCAACAATGTGAAAACCGCCGTGTGCGACTATCCGCCGCGCGGGCTCAAGATGTCGGCCATCTTCATGGGGAACAACACAGCCATGCAGGAGCCGTTCAAACGTGTAGGGGAACAGTTTACCGCCATGTTCAGACGTCGTGCTTTCTTGCACTGGTACACGGGTATGTATGTTGTTATCTTGCACTGCTACACGGGCATGTTGTCGTTATCTTGAACTGGTATACGGGATTGTTATCTTGCACTGGTACACGGGTATGTATGTTGCTATCTTGCACTGCTACACGGGTATGTATGTTGTTATCTTGCACTGGTACACGGGTATGTATAATTGTATCTTGCACTGCTACACGGGATTGTTATCGTTATCTTGCACTGGTACAGGGGTATGTATGTTGCTATCTTGCACTGATACACGGGATTGTTATCGTTATCTTGCATTGGTGCACCGATATGTATATTGTTATCTTGCACTGGTACACGGGTATGTATATTGTTATTTTGCACTGGTACACGGGTATGTATAATTGTATCTTGCACTGCTACATGGGTATTGTGTCGTTATCTTGCATTGGTGCACCGATATGTATATTGTTATCTTGCACTGGTACACGGGTATGTATGTAGTTGTCTTACACTGATGTATGTTTATTGTGTCGTTATCTTGCACTTGTGCATGGGTATGTATGTTGTTATCTTGCACTGGCATGTGGGTATGCACGTTGTTATCTTGCACTTCTTCTTCTTCTTCTTCTTCTTCTTCTTCTTCTTCTTCTTCTTCTTCTTCTTCTTCTTCTTCTTCTTCTTCTTCTTCTTCTTCTTCTTCTTCTTCTTCTTCTTCTTTCGTTTGCTTGAAATAGATTATCTATATGTGCAATGTTGTCTCTAGTATGAACCTCACTGTCTTTTGTATTGTGTCAGGAACTAGTCCTAACACCTAGGTTCGAAGTTGTTGTCTCTAGTATGAACCTCACTGTCTTTTGTATTGTGTCAGGAACTAGTCCTAACACCTAGGTTCGAAGTTGTTGTCTCTAGTATGAACCTCACTGTCTTTTGTATTGTGTCAGGAACTAGTCCTAACACCTAGGTTCGAAGTTGTTGTCTCTAGTATGAACCTCACTGTCTTTTGTATTGTGTCAGGAACTAGTCCTAACACCTAGGTTCGAAGTTGTTGTCTCTAGTATGAACCTCACTGTCTTTTGTATTGTGTCAGGAACTAGTCCTAACACCTAGGTTCGAAGTTGTTGTCTCTAGTATGAACCTCACTGTCTTTTGTATTGTGTCAGGAACTAGTCCTAACACCTAGGTTCGAAGTTGTTGTCTCTAGTATGAACCTCACTGTCTTTTGTATTGTGTCAGGAACTAGTCCTAACACCTAGGTTCGAAGTTGTTGTCTCTAGTATGAACCTCACTGTCTTTTGTATTGTGTCAGGAACTAGTCCTAACACCTAGGTTCGAAGTTGTTGTCTCTAGTATGAACCTCACTGTCTTTTGTATTGTGTCAGGAACTAGTCCTAACACCTAGGTTCGAAGTTGTTGTCTCTAGTATGAACCTCACTGTCTTTTGTATTGTGTCAGGAACTAGTCCTAACACCTAGGTTCGAAGTTGTTGTCTCTAGTATGAACCTCACAGTCTTTTGTATTGTGTCAGGAACTAGTCCTAACACCTAGGTTCGAAGTTGTTGTCTCTAGTATGAACCTCACTGTCTTTTGTATTGTGTCAGGAACTAGTCCTAACACCTAGGTTCGAAGTTGTTGTCTCTAGTATGAACCTCACTGTCTTTTGTATTGTGTCAGGAACTAGTCCTAACACCTAGGTTCGAAGTTGTTGTCTCTAGTATGAACCTCACTGTCTTTTGTATTGTGTCAGGAACTAGTCCTAACACCTAGGTTCGAAGTTGTTGTCTCTAGTATGAACCTCACTGTCTTTTGTATTGTGTCAGGAACTAGTCCTAACACCTAGGTTCGAAGTTGTTGTCTCTAGTATGAACCTCACTGTCTTTTGTATTGTGTCAGGAACTAGTCCTAACACCCTAGGTTCGAAGTTGTTGTCTCTAGTATGAACCTCACTGTCTTTTGTATTGTGTCAGGAACTAGTCCTAACACCTAGGTTCGAAGTTGTTGTCTCTAGTATGAACCTCACTGTCTTTTGTATTGTGTCAGGAACTAGTCCTAACACCTAGGTTCGAAGTTGTTGTCTCTAGTATGAACCTCACTGTCTTTTGTATTGTGTCAGGAACTAGTCCTAACACCTAGGTTCGCAGGTGTTGTCTCTAGAATGAACCTCACTGACTTTTGTATTGTGACAGGAACCAGTAATAACACCGAGGTTAGCAGTTGTTGTCTCTCGTCTGTTTCAGGTGAAGGCATGGATGAGATGGAGTTTACCGAAGCCGAATCCAACATGAGCGACCTCGTGTCGGAGTACCAGCAGTATGAGGAGGCTACGGTCGAGGACGGAATCAACTTCTATGAAGAAGAGGAAGAGGAGGTATAAACAAGGAGTTCTTCAAACAACGGTCACATCCCTACGTCATTTACTAAAAGAACCTTCCCGAGATGTCTGGTACGTTCCGCTAATAAACAGCGAAAACTCTGATAGTAAACAAATAGTTTCACTTATAATCAAAAAACAATGTTAAAATCGAAGTGACATTAGTTTTGAAAGATCAAGCAAACATTGATAGTTTTCGTTACTTTATAATTATGTTATACATAATAGTTAGACCCGCGAGTATGAACACAAGTAAACATTTAGACAAGTGTAATGCTTCTTTGCAGATTGTTATTTTCTGTTCAATATTACTTTGAGAATTTCTAGCAGGCTATGTTGCTATGTGATATACACTATTTTGGAAAGAAATTATTTCCCCTGAACATCAACTCTGTAGTGTTATGTCCCTTCAGAGTTACTTGCTGAAGTTAACAATTTTGAAACAGTCAATTAAACATCGGTTTCAAAGCTAACGTTTTATTCGGAAACAGTTTTCATTATTTTCTCTTTGTGGATTGTGATTTAGTTTTGTCTGTCAATCTGTCTGATTATTTGTTTGCTGGTCTGTCCGTCTGCCTACCTGCCATCTCTGTTTTTTTTTTCAATTTTAATCTTTCTCGATTCGTCTGTGTCTGTTTTTCTGCTTATGCCTCTCTCTCTCTCTCTCTCTCTCTCTCTCTCTCTCTCTCTCTCTCTCTCTCTCTCTCTCTGTATCTCTCTATTTCTTTTTATCGCACCTCTCTATGTATATCTTTATCTCTCGTCTGTCTGTCTGTCTGTCTGTCTGTCTGTCTCGTATTTGTCTACATTTAAGTTCCTGTCTGGTGTGTTGAAAGGATAGAGGTTTTTAAGGACCTTCAATGCTGAGGCAACATTTGATGATGATTGTCCCCCAGTCTTTACGTGTATGTCTTCCTCTATGTGCCCCAGACCCAATTTTCATCCTTGAGAACTGCGAGGTAGTCAATGACTCACATCGGTATGTTGTCACAGGAAAGATGCATGCTCTCAGAATCCTGACTTTGATTTCTTTGTTGTTACTTAACCATATATTTTTAATGCAGTTTAATCTTCGTGTTGCTATGGCCATCATACATTTGACTTCTATTAAACAGTATCCATTGCTGTTTATTACAGAGCTCAGATATTCAAAGAAAGTGCCAGTTACGGCTCAAAAAGATACCGGTACTTACCATAACAGGTCTGTTACCATGGTGTTGAAGAAAATGATACCGTAAAAAATGTCCGGTAGTGAGAATCGCCATTCCGCCCCTATCCTACCTCAGTTTTTATAAGGAGTAGAAAATTATAGGGAAGAGAAAAAGTTGGTAAGAAACAACAATTCGTTTATGTTAGCTTTACAAAATCGATCACAATAAACAAACAAAGGACGTTGCGGCGATTAGCTTTCATCAGCACATAAAGGACAACACAGTACACATACACAAATAGGCTCTAACTATGAAGTGACTACATAGGACTCTAATGTATAGAATAAACGATACTCATCTAGTGTCCCTGGCGAAAAAACTTCGTTCAATGGAATGACGGTCAGCCTATATACCTCCAACGCGCAGGTAGGCTACCTCAGTGTGATCCTTCCGGACCTTCTGCTTAAGCCAAGTATAGGGTGTATGTTAAATGACGAAAGGCTTTCTGAAATTAATTATTTGCGCACCGTAACTATTTTTATGTACTACGTCATTTGTCATGTTTCAAGCGACGCGTGACCGTACGTATAGAATACCACTGGTTGGGTATGTGTTCCTCTAAAAAAAAGATGTATCACAGAGATTAAGAACGGACTAGGATCGGCCAAACTGCTTTTTATAAAATGAAGAACACTTTACATCAACGCATGTCATTGGAGATTAAGAAAACAATTCTCGCATGCTATTTAGAGCCAGCTTTAACATACGCCGGTGAATTTTGAACTACAATAACAAGCCGAACAATATCTTGAGGCCTCGGAGATGCGGTTTTACAGAAGAATCCTTAGAATTCTTTGAACAGCTAAGAAGAGCAATCCAGATGTTTTTAAAAAAGGGAATGCTCGGAGATAACTTATCACAAACATCAGAAAGAGCCAGTCATCATTTTTTAGTCACGTTATGAGAAGTGGAAAAATCGAGCATGTTGTGATAACTGGAAAGATCTGTGGAAAAAGAGACAGAGGAAGACAGCACGAGAAGATGCTTGACTGCCTTTTGTCCTGGCATGGAGGGGTGCCAAAATACGAACCAATACACGCAGTTGCAGATCACAGATTGTGGAGAGGCATGATAGCCCACGCCAGTCGGCAAGGCACTTGAAGCTGATGGTGATGTGTTCCTTAACGGTGGCAGGTATTCGAATGTGGTTGTTCAACAATTTATCATGTCACTTCCTGATACTTAAGTGCCTCATCGTATTACTGTTCCAGTAGAATCGATTGTGAATAGAGCTATGACGTGGAAAACAGTACCCACAATAAATGTTAAATTCCCTGTGTGTGCTCTGGGGCCCTATTATAGGGAACATACGAATAGACCCGCTGGCTACCCAAAAGCATATTGTAAGAGTCGACTAATCGAGAGCTTCTTTCGAAGTCGGAGTGCATCTGCCTGAGAGGCAAGGAACCAGCAGTCTGCACACAAATGTGTCGGATCTGTCAAACGGATGCACACGCAACACTCAGGTTCTGGAACAGAACTGCAGTCCAGAGGTGGATGAACAACCATAACTTTCAGCCAGAGTTTACAGCTGGTGAACGCAAAGAGGAAGAAGAATAAGAAATTTAAAATGTTGAATGTTGAATTAAGAATCGACATCACAGAACTCAGGACACCCCTATAAGAACTCCGTCCCCATATTCAGCAGCAAGCGAAGAGTTCGAATTCCGATGGTAGCAGCAACTGTTTTAGTGTATATCCGTCTCTCCCTTCCCTTGAGTGTTAAGCGTCGGTCAAATCCCCTGGTAACTCCAGCCAAGCAATTCTCCTCAGACCGTAATGATCTATTTGTGCCCTCCCATTGTTCACTCGCTCCCAAAGGGCCATCACAACGTCTAGCTTGTCATACATCAATTCACCACTAAGTGGTGCAGAGCCGGCCAGCTTATCTGCTTGCTCATTTCTCAATACACTGGCATGACGTGGAGAAAAAATTCAAAGAACGCTAACTACCCAGGAACTCTGAAGCAATGCTTGCCACTCTGCACGAAGCATGCCTGCCTCCAACACACTTAACATTCTCTGCGAGTCAGTTAAAATCACGGCATGTATGTACAGCTGATTCTCAAGCCAGCGGAAGGCAGCAGTGACTGCCTCCACCTCCATTATCAAACTAGACGTTGTTATATCATATGCCAGGCTTTGTTGCACTAAGCGACGTCCATTTCATTTTGCTTTGAACCTCCATGCGCTTCGTCTGCCCTTCAGTTCAGAGCCATCTGTATATACAATCACATCACTTGGGCGTAAATTGTCATGAATCATTTGTTGAACTTCTGATTCTGCAGCCCCAGCTGGCCAGTCCCTGCATTCACGATCCAAAGTGATAAGAACCCTACTCAAGTCTGAAACTTGGTGGGGCATTTCGACTCACTCCTCTCCTCGCCCAGATTTATCAAGTCTGCACATATTTCTTATTGTGTCTTCAGTCTTTGCCATCCAAGACCTTCCTCTTTTCAGTCTGTGACCCTTAGCTCTGCCCGGGGCTTCATGCAGGAGGTACCTCTTGTCTGCAGCTACTCTGAGATATGACTTTGCTTGCAAAACTTTGAGCCTATCTGTAATAATAGACATTGCAAGTATGAATCGCATACATGCTGCCAGGGTTTCTTTTGTAAATCCCAGAATTACTAGCATGGCTTCATTTTGTATGCGTTCAAGTTTCATCAGCTGACTCTTTGATATGGTAAGCATCCCAAGAAAATAATCTATCACCGACAGGATCACATGCTGGAACATTGTGAACAATATTCTTTGTTCCATGTCCATTGCTGCCCTAATCTTGATAACATTGCCTTTTTTGGCATTTCATCGCAACTGCCTCCACAACTGCCAAAAGGACATGCTTCTATCAAAAAATGATACTCTGGTACCTTAGTTTGTTTTCTCTGTTGATATTTCTGTTATTGTGAGGCTTGGTACATTAGCTCCTACAATTCTATTGTTCAGAGAGCACCACAAAACAGCCGCCTTTTCTGAGTTTATGACAACACCCACTTTAGCACACCAGTCAGTCACTTTGTCTACAGTTGCCTGTAGCTCTTGGACTGTCTGCTGTCTATCCACAATAAGACACACTATAGCAGTTAATGCTGTATTATTTCACAGGCGGTGATTTCAAAAGTAGGATCGGCCAAATGAAAAAAAAAAAATTATGTCATTAAAAAAAAAAAAAAATACACACTGTACAAGCATCGAGAGAGTGCCCCTGTTATGCTTCACTTCTTGACCTGCTTACTTGTAAATAAACTGGGCAACCCAGACATCCTTTCCTTTATATGACTGCAGATTACACCATGCTGCTGTGGCCGTTAATGGTGTCCTGTTTATAGCTTATTGTGGGGTTGAAGGGGGTATGTGGTGGTCTGCCGCCTGTAATAAGATTTGTTTAATCTTAGGATCTTCTTCTTCTTCTTCTTCTTCTTCTTCTTCTTCTTCTTCTTCTTCTTCTTCTTCTTCTTCTTCTTCTTCTTCTTCTTCTTCTTCTTCTTCTTCTTCTTCTTCTTCTTCTTCTTCTTCTTCTTCTTCTTCTTCTTCTTCTTCTTCTTCTTCTTCTTCTTCTTCTTCTTCTTCTTCTTCTTCTTCTTCTTCTTCTTCTTCTTCTTCTTCTTCTTCTTCTTCTTCTTCTTCTTCTTGTTTTCTTCTTCTTCTTCTTCTTCTTCTTCTTCTTCTTCTTCTTCTTCTTCTTCTTCTTCTTCTTCTTCTTCTTCTTCTGTCTTCTTCTTCTTCTTCTTCTTCTTCTTCTTCTTCTTCTTCTTCTTCTTCTTCTTCTTCTTCTTCTTCTTCTTCTTC